ATTCCGGTTAATTTCCACACGCTATTGTTTTCGTAAATTGCAATTCCCCTGAGATTGCTATCCTATAAAGATAAGGGATTCGTCCAACAGATATGACAAATCAGAATAGTATACGATAGGCAGCAAAACTGAGTACATTTCGGGGCAAGCCCGGCAAACAGTTGGATGGAAGATCTCTAATGAACTTTGAATTACTTTCACCCAGTGCGGCAAACAACAATTGAAATAGAGCTTCAGAATGCCGTACAAAAGGCCAGGCCAAATATTATCATTGAAACGTGCCCCACAATCTTTAACACCTTTTGATGATCTAATAAATGCGACATGATTTTCGAAAACCACAAAAAACGACCCAAAGAATTGAGAACGACCAAAAACGAGAGCAAAGGGGGAAAACACACGCTGACGAAAACATCGTGAACCATGAGAAGGCCATATACGAGTACTAAACCCCCTATATAGGAATACATACATCATCATCATGGCGATGATCATTACGAACATACATATATAGTTCAACTGGCACTTGGACAAACAAGGCGATAAGACCCCGCGACCAGAGCACAACACTTGAGATACAAGAAATCACGTAAAAAGGAAACTGAAACTGACTGAACTCGAGCTGAAACTGAGGCAGAGTAGAGCGATGCAGATACAGATACTGATAGGCCACCATAAATGTTTATCTATAACAAAAGTGACACAAAAAGAGCGAATAGAAACTGTCGCGTTGGAACACTAAGGTTACCACTAATCGCTACTAGCCATGGTCTCTATAAGTATGTGCAGCTAGTTACCAATACAAGTGCTTTGTTAATTTTCCAGAGCTATAACGTCACCAAGATTGGGAAAGTCTTGGAAGATAAGCTGACCAATTGTGTTGTATTTGTTTTAGTTTTCTAAGTTGCATTTTGTAATTTTGTTTTATGAACTATTTAATCCTATTCACATGCGACTTAGTTATGACGAACACAACCTAAGGGACGAACACTTCTGGTCTCTAACACAGTAAAGCTCGCAATCTACGTTCGCCAGATAATGCAGATACAGGGGTTATAAAGAGCCAGTCATTGAAGAGGCCAAATCGAAGCGAATCGAACTCGACACGAATTCGGTTCAGGGCCTTGTGTCGTAGATAGGCCGAATCGCAACCAAATCCCGCCGCCCTGATACGACAACCCGAACCACACGTCCAGAAAGACCCTATTTATCAGCGTACTTCAGTATTACCTTCTTGACTTACTGATACTCGTGTACACTCGTATATTCGGTTTATTTGCTCTTCTTACGGCACAAGTCGGGAACAAAGGTTGAACCCTATGGCGATAACAACAGAGCAGCAGCAGAGTTTGCATAAAGGGCAAAGGGGGGCAGTCAGCTGGCGCGTATTTGGTTTTCAAATGAGGTCAAAAGAAACAATCAAATTCGGCTGATAAGCCGCAAGCCCCAATTGGATCCTCCACGCTGACACTCGGGCATGAAATCAGCCATCGACAGCGATTGCTTGCGTCAGAGGTTAGGGTTTTTGATTTCCTTTTATTTGGATTTTTGGGAACATTTTCTCAAGGTCTAGACGGACGAACATGTGACCCTTCAGCGGCAGCTGTCTGGGTCAGAAATCAATTGCAAATTGCCGTAGTTACTTCAGTAACTAGCAGTACACTCGCACTTCTATTTGGCACATGAAAAATGGTCACATGACGGGTCGGCAGCTGTGTTTGCCAGCACTTCGTGTACGTACTGGTATCGCACCCAATGGCAATGAACTTTACCGCTGCCAGAACTCGAACCCAAGTCCAAATCCAATCGCTGTGCACCCGCGCTCCGCCACTTTCTATGGTGCGAACGTGCTCGGTCCTAAGCTTCGATGTCGGCACCGCCTATTAGTACTATTGACACTTGTCGACCCAACGGCGAACCGAAATGCGGCCTGTCACCGTGCGGATCGCTCAGATACAGATACTCAGGTATGGGCACGGTGGGGAGGCAACATAACGTCCACGTCCAAGTGGAAAAAGTCAACAGTGTCGCGCATGGCACATGTTGGGTCGAGGTTTCTGCCCACCTCGCCCCCTTCCTCGCACTGCCCTATCGGGTACGCCTTCCTCCATCATCGCAGTCATGATGATCTTCACCATTCGACATTCGGCACTTAGCACCATTGGCACCAAGCGATGCCAATCAGGGGTCTATGGGGAGCACGCTGACCGAACGAATGGAACGGGCAATCGTTCGAGCGCACAGTGGTACGAAAGTAGCCCAGAAAGTGCCAGAAAAGTAATTCATAATAAATAATTTCACAGATGAGTGAAAAGTACCATAAATTAACATTTTATTAACAGTTTATTTACTCGTTTTTTAATATACTATCTATTTCATATTTTTTGTTTTAAATACGTAACATTTCTTCTATTATATATCAAGTTGGGAATTTTTAAAATCGCAAAACAAAAAAACATACCTAATCAAACACGCTCGTCTTCCACTTTCCAAACATTTGTGGACGTTGACTTTTGTATTTTCTATTCTGGCGCTATATACCCGCAACTTAATTTCCATGCTAACCAATTATAAACCTAATTTTATGATAACGCACAGGCAAATTATTAAACGGCAGATATATACGCACATTACGAACTCCAAAATGAGGGGTGAAATTTGATATGGAGGCAATCGGCAGGGGAGCTTTCGGTGTGTTGACCAAAACCAATGCAATTCCGAGCCACGATTCTGGTTCTGTTTGGACTCGGATTCCGATTGTGGGGATCGTAACGAGTTTAAAACTACAAATTGTTGTTAATTTCGCTTGTAAATATTTCATTTAATTATTTATGTTGTGTGCTTTCGGCTCCCAAACATGCGACCGAATGGATCTGGCTCCAAGTCAGGGCTTATGACTTGGTGTATAGGGTAGGGTCTGGGACTGGGACTGGTGTGGCTTCCATCAATTTACACCTACGGGCAGGGAACCGATAGCTTCTCCACCTGGTCCGGCGAACAGGTAAAGGTCAATGCTTGTGCACGCATTGATACACGTATTTGCTTTTTAATTTTTTCCAGTTAACTCACAATTAAATTATTTATGTGCGAAGCAAAGTAAATAATCAACTGTTGCGGATCCAAAAATTGAAAATAAATACCTGGGTAAATACACAATTTATTTGCTTTGCCCCTACGGGGAACTTAAAAAATGTGTATTTTCTTTGGATAAATTTATTAACAATTGTTCCTTTATGATGGCACCCTTTATATTGGAAAATACCGTTTGTTCTTTTTATAAATGAAATGCAAACAATTCACTCTAAGAACTAATCGAGCAATATGTAGATACATCACAATATTCTGCCTATCAATGAAATATGACTTTGATGAATACTCCTCCCATTTCGCCCCTGATGAAGCATAGTTATCTCCAACTGGAATTTCTACAAATGTTGCTGACACCTAGCTTCCCCATTTGGCTGGGCTTTTGTTGCGACTGGGCTGTTTGTTTAATGATTGCCTTTTCCGGGCCCTGTAACTGTTCGAATCGCACTGTGTTGTACTGTACGCGGCACTGAGGTGCACTCGCGCCCCTGGCTCACCCCGATAATTAGCTTAGGGGTTCAACGATGCAGGTCAATGGTTTTGTTAACATATTATAAGTTATTTTAACCTTTGGCCGATTTGCATGCGACGCAGGGCTCGATCTTTTTACACCACAATGTATTTGGCTCAGTCTATGGGTGCGTGGCATTGCGAGTGTATTATTGTATTGTATTGTACTGGTTTCCGTGCACGGCGACAAATTGGTTATTCCTTTTAAAATTAACGCTCAGAACAAAATACATTTATTTACAGTTTTCGGTAGGTAAGTTTTGAGCTTATCTATATATTTATATATTTCTATATATTTATTTAAACGAATAGTAGTGGAATAGTATAGAACCAATCTGTAAGAAATATTGCCTGGTTAGTTTTAGTAATTACCACTTTGCAAGTTTCAATAGCAATCTAGCTATTACCTATATTTGTAGCTGGCAAATAACTCACCCAGCAATTTCTCACTTCAGGTAACGCACCCACCGACATACTGCAGCAGAAGCCAGCCAAGGCCACCACCGCCATTGTGGGCGGTCGCAGCGCAGCCCAACCGGCGACCCACGACGACCAGGAAGCGGCGACGACCGCTTCCACAGCCACCAAGCGGAAGCATCTCGAGCGGTTGGCCAGCGATCTGCGGCAGCTGGGCAAGAAGGGCAGGAGGAGTCGCTCGATTAGTCCCTGTAGTAGATATCCCACCGTTGCGGAAACGGCCAAAATGCTTAGCGAGCGATCGCTGCTGCTCAGCGGATATGGAGCCATCGAGAGCAGCGCCAAGAAGCTGAGCGAAGCGGCGACCGGGGGTGCGGGTGGCAGTGGTGCGGTCGGTCAGGCTGCCACGCCCAATACCAGCCAACTAGGTGCACCCGCCTCCTCAGCATCCTCCTCCTCCGCTGGCAGCACTTGCACCACCAATGCGAACACGACATCGGTGGCGGCTGCCTATGCTGCTTTCTATTTGGAGAAGGTCAAGCACGAGAAGATGGACAATCACAAGGACGCACCGATGGTCACCATACACAATAACAACAACAACACCATCAACATCAACAACAACAACAACAGCAGCAGTAGCAGCAGCAGTATCAACAACCATCAATCGAGTCAACCAAGTCTGGGCCACAGCGTCAAAAGGGAGCGGCTCAGTCCAGGGAGCAACTGCAGCAGCCACAACGGCGAACTCACCGTCAGCTCATTTGCCAGGTGAGTGGAAGTTTGGGGTTTGGGAGCCACAACTAGGGGGTACTCCAGACTGGGCTTATTGAATCATTGATTTATTGCATCACTGGTTCGTGATATAGCCGTGACCCATGTGATTAGTTTGAAGTGATTCATTAGGGCAGCTCCAGCTATCCGGCAACAAATTGGTTTGTGCACTCATAGTTATACACTCATAGTTATAGCAACTGCTAGTCGGCTTGATTGTTTTGCATTGTAATTAAGCTAGTGTAACAATTATAAGACTTAACAAATTCGATCCGCTACTCTCTATTTGGGCTTGCAATTCTCCTGACACTTCGCGTGCTTCTCCGCGTGATCTTCCGCATCATCCTCCGTATCCGACATGTCGCATTGCTCGCTGTGAATGATGTGGTTGTAGTGCTCCCGCCGCAGCTCGAGGAACCTCATCCTTCGCCGGAGTCGCTGCTCCGGAGTTTCGTCGGTCACGATGAAGGTATCGTTACTGGGCAAGGAAATGACAACTGAGGGGCCATTGGAAATGTCAGGTCGGGGAGTGTTGATTGGTCGCAGAATCGAGGGGGATTCAGTGATTGTAGCGTTGGAAGTGGAATTCTGATCTCTGATTTCGAATTGAGTGAAATCGTCGTCACTGGAATCATCATCCAACGGGTCGGGCTCCTCCTGTTTGGCCTTTTCAGACATATTCTGGGGACTTACATTGAAAGTTAATTGCTAATAAATCACATACATTTCAGAGCCATGTTGATTTGGAAAAGTAAAGAGTACAGAGAGATGGCTTTTCACATTGAAAGTCGCCGCTGTTTTGGACTATTTATCAAGCGAATTCGACGCCTGTCGACGCCTGACAAATTAATTAACATTTTAATAAATTAATACCTCGAAAAGAAACCAAACCGATGCGGCTTCCGTTCGCAGCCAATGGTAAATTAATCAAAACCGCGTAACAAAAAAGCAGCCAACACGAATGTTGTCTACACAAGAGCACGCTTTAGCTGTCAAAAAGAGGCAATAACAAAGAACACGCCAAGAAAAGGAAGGAAAAACAACCTGAAAAACTTGTATGTAAAAACAAATAAGACAAAAAAATTAATAAGGCCCCGACGGCGACTAAATGTGATTTGACAAACGAAATCAACAGCAATTAATACGCGCAACTAAATTAATGGCGTTAAAGATTATATATTAACTTATCTTCGGAGCGCAAAAAAAAAAAAAAAAAGAAATAACGAAATACCTTAAGAAGCCTTAGGCCTCAGCACACAGATACAAAGATACATAGATACTAGTTGGGCTGTACGATTTGGGGATAGACTGACTATTTTAATATTAATGAGACATGCTAGGTGTGGATGTTGAGTGGCGCGACCACGACCATAGATTCGGATTAACCATACTTTAGGCCGTGGGCTAACTCATTCCACTCGGGGTGGTCGTCCGAAGACAGATTCGATAAGCCGCATCGTTTTCATAATTTATAATTGTTTATACACAAATTAGAGTGGCTTATTAAGTCACCCTTAATACGATATGACAAATGAATGTTTTAGGGCCGGGCGAAGAACTTGTTTGAAGTCTGTGTCTATATCACAAATACATTAGACTTTTGAAGAACTTTGAATGTAAATTCGATGCGAATTCGCACCTGTCGAACGCAACTGATTAAATGTATCCCCTGTCGAAACTCGGAATGTTATATAAATATAGTTATTGACATAACTTGATTTCGCTAGCTGCCCATTGACAAAAATACGATGTCTATCTGCGCCACTCAGTTTGTAATTTGACCTTTTCATTTTTTTTTCTCATTTATAACATTATTTGCATATTTAATACACGGTCTAAGAAGTGTTGGAAGTTATAGAAGATTTTGTTTGACTTTTTTCCTAGGCTTGGTCAAATGGTTTTTTAAGTTCCTTTGTTTCTATTTTGTATACGGAACTTCACGTCAACTTTGCTAATACTCTTTGGACATATGCGATTAAACAGATGCATACAGTGCGTTTCACAGCAATATATGTTTTTTCTGAATATGCAACTGATTACATTTTAAAACATTATTATTAATAAGAGTTCGATGTTAGGGTAGAAATACCAGGTCGGTCTAGTATGTGTCGATGAATTTCTTTGTTGCTAATGCTGTTGTGCGTTTCGAACCGCACCGTATTCACATACATTTATTTATATTAGGGACTTTTTGGGTCTTGTGTAGGCGTAACAATAGACACCATTTGCATACCGAGGCGGTCACATGTTGCCGCTTGTATAATAAAAACCAATTAGGCATGCCACCGATCTAAAGATCTTAGACAACCAGAGCACCCAAACCGTTAGACACACATCGAGATTGGGTGAATTGGGAACTGGGAGGGCGATCGTGGCAGTAGCCAACATAATCGCCACCATAAACCATTTTTGCAATGCTTTTTTTTTTGGTTGATCTGGTTGGCTGTTCAAACAATTGCCGAGAACAAGCAACAAAACACAACTAAGTAGCTGCTACCAATCGCCAAAGCAATTTGCAATAATCAACATTTTTAACAAAACCGAAAAAAAATTACTAAAAAAGATACAACTGAAAAAAATGAGACAAAAAAGAGCAAAAAACAAAGTTGTAAGCAGCAAGAGGCAACAACGAACCGGCAAACGAACAAAATAACAGCAAAAAAATCGACAACCAACAGATCACGATAAATCAATGGCAACAACAACAGCGCAGGGAGCCAGCTGAGTGGGCAGGGGGCACCAATGGGGGCGGGGTGTGGCAGGGGCAGGGGTAGGAGGAGGAGGAGCGGTACGGGGAGGCAAGCTAGGCGGCAAGCTGCTATATATAAATTTGGTGCCGCAGCCTCCGAAAGAGCGACACGACATGACCAACGACCAGCGACGACGACGACGTGCAGCACGAGTTACTCCAAAGCCGGGCCATGCCCCAACCACCTAGCCATGTGGCATGCAACCAGTGGTGGCCAGACTTTGTGGGTTGGCCAAAATAAAGCTGGAAAATAGGAATCACTTATCCTTATATCCTTATATTTTTTTAAATCTATTATATAGATCAACAGAAAGTACTTCAATAATTACACAAGGATGTGAAATGATGTTGGTACTATTATATTTCATATACATATTATTTGAATTAACAGTTAACTGTTAAAAAGCGCAACTGCCACCTCTGGCGGCATGCAGCACAACGCTTTCGACGAGCTGAAATAGAAGCAGGCACTTGCAGCTGCCACTGGCTGCGGCATGGTTCGGTTTAGGAGGTGACCGCTGCCGCCACTGCGGATCTGGCCAGAAATCTATGCTGATTATTTTCTTTTCGGCCAACATTCAGTTGGCTTGGCTCGTGTTGCAGAGCTCGAAGAATGGCTAATGGGTGGCTATTGGAGCGGGGCAAGGTGGAGCATTCGCTTGCGCCTTGCTGGTGGCATGGTAGTTGCATATGAGTTATGGCCATGCCAGCCAGATTGTAGTCCACAAATGCTCAACATTGGTTAACATAAAATGTTTCGTTTCGATCCGAGAGCATCTGAAATGAAATTGTTTGGGAAATGTTCCGTGATCGTCCTAACAAGATTGAAGGTTACTAAGAGCCTTATGGGTGGATAGCCAGGAAAACGCTTGTAACGAAGCTACATTGTAGTGGAAATAATAGTTTATTTCTTTAGTTGTGTGATCACAATGTATATTTTATCCAAGGATTTTACTCAAAATACTTATACTCTAAAGGTAAATTCTTTTCATTGGAGTCTACATAGTGCTCTGCTTATCCAACTATATACCAGATTAAATTAAAACTATGTGTGAACTCTCCCAGGCTTCTCATCTGGATACCAGTTGTTGGCCTCCTTCCGCCAGGGAACTCCTTGCAAAACAGTTCCCATGTCAAATCGCATTTGTAATCGCATTATGGCCAGAGTCTTGCCACTTCTCCACAGAATTAAACTAAATATCAAACTTCCACAAGACGTAAATAGTCGTCGCAGCTGCCTGAGTTTCTTGGTTGCTTTTTTTACAGAAGAGCAGAGAAGCCAGTCATTAACATGTGAAATAGCCAAGAGAACTTGGCTCAGAAGCTGTGCGGAATGACAAATAATCCAATTGTATGCGACACCTTTTCTGTCGTCGAATGAGAACTCGAGATAATTAAATATAAATGCAAATTTACGAGAAATCATGGGGTTAGCGTATAGTAAATATATCAAGCTGATGTCACATTCTCCCACTTATGCAAAACCTGCTAAATGTTCACTTTTACATAACTAATCCGGATGATTTTTGGCATTTTTCTCTGCCCTGTTTCGATTCCAACAGATCTCGCAGCGCCACGCCCTCGTCGTCATCGTATCGTGGTGCCGGCGGTGGTGCTGGTGGTGGCGTCTCACCCAGCCACCAGCAGCAGCAACAACACTCCCAGCAGCAACAGCAACAACGCCTTAGTCCGCCCAGTGGCCCATCGATGGCAACAGCTACAGCAACCACATCATCATCATCATCATCGGCATCTGCATCTGCATCTGCATCGGCATCAGCATCAGCAAGTGCAGCCACACACATGCCGCTGCACAATTTGTCAACGAATTTGCTAAATAGCATTCAGCAGGCTGCCAGTCAGCAGCAGCTGCGCAGCAGCAACAGCAACAGCAGCAGCAACATCAGCGGCAGCAGCAACACCTCCAAATCGGATGGTGGTGCCGCCTCAAGTGCCGCGGATTTCTCCACCCGCAACTATTCGGACATTATGCGCTGCCTGGCGGCCAGGTACAACAATGCCAATCCCAATGAGTAAGTTCTGAAATAACTCTATATTCCCACCGAGAAAAAAGTGCGAATATAGTGGGAAGTTAATCACAAGTTAAGATCAATACGATATGATAAACCATTATTAGAAGATCAAATGAAATATGTCTGCAGAGATGCTTATTTTAGGGCTCAAACCACTGCGACATTCGCATTTAAAGTCCTATTTTACTATTTCAAATTATACCCTGTATATTTAAATTACGAAAATCGTGAATTTTTGATAAGTTTCTACTGCATTTTCTCTCCGTGCAGCAATAATGCAACTCGACGCAATTCCTACTACGACGGCAGCGCTTCTGCGACAACAGCCACAGGAGGAGCAGGCGGTGTAGGCGGCGGATCAGGAGGAGCAAACTGTGCCCCAAGCACCGCCCTCAAGTCGGCCAGCAGCTCCGGCGGCATCACTACGTCCACTGCCAAGAAGCTCTCTCCATCGGCCGCCTCGGCGGCGAACAGTGCTGCCGTCAGTCTGCCCAAGGAGGCCAAAGTGAGTGTGTCTGGTGGAGCAGGTGTGGGTGGTGCAGCAGGCACTGGTGGTGGCGGCGGCGGCGGCGGCGGCGGCGGCTCGTCCCTGTCGCAACTGGCTCCACCAGCCACCGCTCCGTCGCCCACGGAGGAGGCCAAGAGCCAAATGGCCGCCGTGGTGGCAGCAGCGAGTGTTTCGCCGTTTATGACCAACTTTCTGCCCTTCTCGTCCGGCATTTTCCCGCCGCTGATAGACATGAGCAGCACCCAGGCACTGCTGACACTGGTGAGTATCACTACCGAGTAGTTCCATTGGAGACCAACCAAGAGTGATACCAAATAATGGGATATGCATTTTGCCACCAGTAGCTAGTACCACTATATTAACGGCAAAGTAAGAAATACTACTGTACACCCACATTGAATGGCACACCAAGCTTGGTTGATCCCAGTAATTATTTTCTATTTTACCCAAACCCTTCTCTT